GACGTGTGCTCTTCCGATCTGTGTTTAAGCTCAATTTTCAAGGTGTTCCCCAAACGCTACGAACTTTTTATTAGTTCTATTGTATTCAGAAGGACAAAATCTATAAAAAAACACTATCGTTTTTACTTACACCTTTTTGGACTAAAATTTTTAACATCCTCCTTTAATTTGTTACAAGTGGATTTCGACTTCATGTAACCACTATGTTTCAAGACCGATAAATATGCGGCGCGCAGTTTGTATATACATAGTTGAATATTATAACAATAAAAATTATTACACCAACACCCGGTCGGCTCGCATAGGTATTACTTCTCTATATCTGATTTACTATTTCTTCCCTGCAAAAGCAAATAATTAGTTATTTACGTGCTACAATTGTCTCGGTTGATAACGTCCAAAGATTATTACAAAATGGTCGTTGGTTTTTTGTTTGGCCTTGATCATTTTTAGTACACGTTTTTCTATAACTACTGAGGACAGAAAGTAATCGATCATAGCAGCGATGTTTTTCACAGAATGTGAGTAATATATACATTACGTTATTAGTCCTTAAATAATGATCAATACGATCATAATCTTTTTATTATCTATAGATTTGTTTTATTTATTTGAAGATATTAATTATAAGGTAGAACAATCGAACTATATCACGCGATTGATAAGAGATTAAAGAAGAACAAATCTATGATATTATTGAAGTTTTCAGTTATAATTTTCTAATAACAATATTTTAAATATAATGTGCAATGTAGCTCCGTTAAGAGCACAGAAGTTATTGCTGCTTGTAATGCAAAGAAGCATGCGACATTGCATAATCGTCGTTGATGGCTCGTTCATTCTGTCGTCTGAGGGATTTGCCACGATAAAATTTTGGCTCTATAAATAATGATCCTTTATTGAACATTTTCGCTTTAAATTTGCTGTATAATAAAAATTATATTTCAGCTTGCAAGCACGTCAATTTCATACTTTACGGTGATTCTTTCACTTTTTTAATCATCCACATAAAATAAAAATTGATGTTTAAAACTCTACGCTGCAAGTAGTTCTAGCACGCTTATATCATACAATTTAAAAACCATATAATAATACAAATGCAATTAATCTGCTAAATTATCTTCATTGCTGTATATAAAATAAACTAAAAATGTCATGTTGAATTACCAGTATCATTCCTTAATTTTTCAGTTGTTCTTTTAAATATGATCCAATTATCTTCTTGTTTTCTATTATACTCACAATTGCGAATATATTTTTCTATTATTACAAGAAAGATGACTGACGCGATCACTTCATGCAGAAGTAAGGAAATGAAGACACATGACTTTAGCAACAGAATACGAATGTAAAGCGCTTGCGTCGAAAAAAATACCAAGAGAATTGTGTATATTATTACCCCATCATGTCTCACTGCCACCAGCGAGAAAATAAGTTATTTACGCACAATTTACTAAAATATTTCCTTCCAGTGTTCTATGATATACATATAATGTTAAAATGATAGACAAAATCGTCTCTTTTGTAAATTTTTGATAGTAGCTATGTTATATTTTTTGCGAAGATTATATTTAATACCGTCTATAGTCCTCAACGTTTTATAAAAAAAAAATATCACACAGTATCTATAGACATTAGTAAAAACGAGACTCTCCATATAATCGACAGAATAGTATCTCGAGTGTCGCGCAGACATGGACTTTGCTGGGAGTCACTACTATAGAATCAATCGAATACTATTAACGTGCCTTGGTCTATGGCCATATTATACACGCACGAGATACGTGTATTGCTTATTTTTATTTCTCCTTCTTTTATCTGGTGTTTTTTTTCAGGTTTGTTGTAGATCGGACAATTCCGGGTTCGATATTTGTTTACAGATAGTTATTTATTCTTCTTTTTCTCACAGTTTTAATTATTTTTTTATTAACAATTTGTTTATTATATATAATATTTTTTATTTTATTAATATTTGATTACATATGTATTAATTTGATTTTAACAGTAAACTTATAATGTATTATTTTTTATTTTACTATTTACCAGTAAACTTTTCTTTTAAAAATGTGAGATAGATAAATCTTTAATTTGAGAATTCATATTATTATTATTTTTATAATATTTATTATTAATTTTCAATCAATACCTCAAGAACTTTAGAACTTAGTATTTAAATGAAATACAATATTACAAATACTAGACTGTTATATATAACTTATCGTATCACATGTATCACGCAAATATTTATATAAATTCCAAACTTGAATAAATAGTACTCATATAATTCTAGTTATCGTTGTTTATCACTAAGGAATACAGCGTAGATCTTCTTTTAAGTGTATATTCAACCACCGGACTTACAATTTTTTCCTTAATTCACTATTTTGATATGTTTATTAGTAGCAACAAAGTAAGTTTATGGAAAATATAAACGATTTCTATAACCGCGATTAAATCAATGAAGTATATTCTGATGGTATATGAATGATGGTATATTGACTGTATATAGCAAAGATATATCGTTGATGGAAAAATGACACGAGTCAAAAATTAAGCATTTTTAAGATAAGAAAACTCTAAAATCTTCATTTTAAAATACTAATTTTTTTACTTGATTCACTTTTATATCAACGGAACGATATATCATAGATTACTAGCATCTTATTCTAGATAAAAAAAGTTATGGAACAAGTGCGATATGATTGGAATTCTCTAAAAAAAGAAGAAGAACTTAAAATTATGCATAATCGCACTAGTATTGGAAGACTCTTTACAATTATCTTGTTGAGTAAGAAACACAATTAACTTGCGAAACATTCTCAATCGAGGTACGATCACGAAATTAAAATTAGAATATCCCACCGATTGTTACAGTATTGGTATACACAACACTCGTTCTCTTTATATTAATATTTTTGACGCCAAAAATTCTTGATACCGTAATGCCATTAAACGAATCGCGGAAATCACGGCAGTTTTTGAATAAGATGGAATTTTTTATCGATCGGGAGAAATATGCCAAACAATTAACATTGTATTTGATCATACTAACCTTCATCTGTTTTACCGTGACAGCAACCGGAGAAATATTCTTGCAAATGTATGTGCAACACACATGTGCAATGTTTCAAATTACTAGGTAGCGAATTCTTAAATGCTAATAAAGAAACTATAAATATATTATTTTTATTCTATAGCATAATTGGATTCTTTTTATAGTTATCGAATCGAATGTATTGTAAACGAAAGCCAGACGAAATTGTCAGTTCCTTCGAAAACATTCAATAGTCGTAAAAGCATCACAGAGGCTGTCGACGGTCATCGAAACGCTATCAAGTTGGTATTGCAATTTATAAGATTGTTACCAAGATAATTCTTAAGAACATAAGAAGTTGTGTTTTATGATATAAAACTATAATATTTTATATTCTAAAACTTATCTAGTAATTTAATGACTTATTTTTCTATTATTTTTTTACACTTTTATAATATAGTGCACACGTGGATATTTTTTCACGAGTTAACAATCTTTTTCTAAAAATTCAAATTTATATTATTATATGATGATTCAAGGTTCATCGATACCATCAAAAACTTTTTCTCAATTTCCAATTTATTTATAATTCCACTAGGCGTGGCATCGATAAGTATTAATCTATATCGTGTAAGTTTGTAAGACTTCTAATTTTAAAATTAACGATCTAATTATATCATAGAATAATTTAAAAAAACATTGTATGTTCCGTAGCTTAGTAAATTCATTATGGCAAAAAATATTGGCGATGCGATCGTATTGATCTTATACATTGGCATGCATTATGGCTATATGCTCTCTAGTAATTACATGGGTCAAAAAATAATAGATTATAGCAACGGTATATTTAAGAAGATGTGAGTGTAGAGAAAGTACACGAGATTTCAGTTAAATATATATTTAAAATTTATATAATAACATATTAATAACAAACTGATTAATATGAATTAATATATGACACTAATATATCATAGATGCAACACTCGGTGGTATGAGGCTCCCCTGAACATACAAAAATGCCTCATGATAATTACATACCGAAGTATAAAGACTTGCAGAATAACAATTTGCTTTGGTCTATTCTTGCCGTCTTTGGAAGGCTTCGCTAAGGTAAAACTTATGTAGGAATAACTTATGTAGGAAAAAATATTAAAAATTGTATAATTTTAAACACGACCGCTATATACAATATATGAATACATCAATAAATACGAGGAAAACGTGGTCCACTATCGATCAAGGCTAAATATTAGTGGTCAATAAATATTTTAATTTTTAAATTTCAGTTACAATAAACTGCGCCGATTACTATTAGACGTTAAACGCAATTACACATTAAAGTTGAAATAATATCACAAAGTTAAATTAATCGTCAATTTGACAGCAATGCTAATAGCATCCAAAATATTGTAAAAAACTTATTGTAAAAAAATATTATCTCAGCTTCTTTTTCGAATCTGGAACCTCCCGATTCAATCCTGGCTGGGTGTGTTACCAATTGCAAGTCGAATTGACCGATCGACAATGACGCTTTTTCGTACTTATTTAATGTAAAATTTATATTTTGATACATTCTGTTCCAGCTTACCAGCACGTCATTATCATACTTTATGGTCATTTATTCTGTAAACAGATAATAATCACAGAATGTAGTCATAATCAACAATAATTGATATACAATATATTATGATATACGATATATCAACAATCGATATACGTAAATATACATAAAGAAAAGTGTGTCATGTTAGATAGAAACATCTTTGGCCATCAGCGGAACTGTGAATCCATTACATATCCGTTTCATACCCGAATATCTACATACTGACGATGAGTTAAGTATAATATATTTTATTGTTACAATATCAAGCCACGTACAAACTGTGCGCCGTATATATTGTCGGTCTTAAAAATAATGTGTAACAGTTCTTATATGAGGCCAGAATCCACTGTAACGAATTAAATTGTCAAGCAATTTAATATTTTTTTGATGCTAATAAGCATCTATAAGAATGCCCTCTCCCCAAATTTGTAATAAAGTTTAATTTTTTATTACAGATTTGGGGGGAATTCTAATTCTAATCGAAACGTGTATTTGAGTACAAATATTCTAATTAAGACATAAAAGTTAAATATAAAGTTAAAAAAATCAAAGGTTACTTTTTGTATATACATATAAAGCATCACTATTATAAAGTAAGTTTCAAGTAAAAAGTCAGTTTGTGCAAAAATTATTATTAATTACACTCGGTTTCATAAAAATTATAATAGTCGCTTTTAATGTTAACAAACTTAGGGTAATCAATGCTAAATGTGAAAAAAATGAATATAAATATGATTACATTTGGTAATAGATCTTTAAGAGATTATGTTAATATTCCTTACAAGACGTAATATATGCACGGAGAAGAAAAATTATCGGTTCAGGCAAGTAATAACGTTTATTCGAGCGTTATAGACATAAGCATTAGCCAAATATATGTAAAAACTCTAATTTATACATGAATATTGTAAGCTACAAGTAATTATAATTTTTCGCATAAATTCAGTACCTACTTTATTTAAGTATGTACAAATAACAAATTATAAATTACACATATACACCGAAGCAAGGTAACTCGTGAAAAAAGACACGCTGTGAAATAGCAAAGATGTCCGGTGAAATAGTTACTATACATACAATGAAAAAAAACACAAAATGTGATACATATGACGATAAGTTATAACAGTCTAATATTTATATAAATTTAATGAGTAAATAGTATATATATATATATATATGACATATTCCAGTTATCATTGTTTATCACTAAGGACTACAGCGTAGATCTCTTTTTGAGTGTATACTCGACCGCCGGAATTACAATTTTTTCCGCAATTAAATATTTGGACACGTTTACTAGTAGCAATAAAGTAAGTTTATGAAATATATAAACGATTTCTATAACAACGAATTGATGAAGTACATTCTGATGATATATTAAGATATTAATTGTATGTAACAAAGATATATCGTTAATCAAAAAGTGATACGAGTAAAAAAATAAGCATTTTTAAGATAAGATAACTCTAAAGACTTTATTTCAAAATGCTAAATTTTTATTTCACTTTTATATAACAAAACGATATATGCACATGGATTATTAGCATCTTATTCTAGATAAAAGAAATTATGGAACAAGTGCGATATGATTGGAATTCCCTAAAAAAAAAAGAAGAACTTAAAATTATACACAATCGCACTAATATTGGAAGAATTATTACAATTGTCACGTTAAGTGAGTAACACAATTAACTTGCGAAACATTCTCAATCGAGGTACAATCACGAAATTCAAATTAGAATATCACTCCAATTGTTACAGTAATGGTATATACAACACTCGTTCTCTTTATATTAATAATTTTGTCGCCAAAAATTGTTAATATCGTGATGCCATTAAACGAATCACGGAAATCATGGCAGTTTCTGAACAAAATGGAATTTTTTATCGATCGGGAAAAATATGCCAAACTGTTAACATTGTATTTGTTCCTAATAGTCTTCATCATTACTACCTCAGTGGCAACCATAGAAGTATGCATGCAAATGTATGTGCAACACACATGTGCAATGTTTCAAATCACTGGGTAACGAATTCTTAAATGCTAATAAAGAAACTATAATCATATTATTTTGATTTTATAGCATAATTGGATTCTTTTTATAGTTATCGAATCGAATGTATTGTAAACAGAAGTCAGACAAAATTGTCAGTTCCTTCAAAAATATTCAATAGTCGTAAGAGCATCACAGAGGCTGTTGACGGTCATCGAAACGCTATCAAGTTGGTATTGCAATTTATAAGATTGTTTTCAAGATTATTCTCAAGAACGTATAAGAAATTATGTTTTACGACACAAAACTATAATATTTTATATTCTAGAACTAATCTAGTAATCTAATGACTGATTTTTCTATTATTTTTTTACACTTTTATGATATAGTGCACACGTGGATATTTTTTCACGAGTTAACAATCTTTTTCTAAAAATTCAAATTCATATTACTATATTATGATTCAAGGTTTATCGGTACCATCCAAGACACTTTCTCAATTTCCCATTTATTTCTAATTCCACTAGGCGTGGCATCGATAAGTATTAATCTATATCGTGTAAGTTTGTAAGGCTACTAATTGTAAAATTAACGATTTAATTATATCATAGAATAATTTAAAAAAAAATTGTATGTTCCGTAGCTTAGTGAATTCATTATGGCAAAAAATATTGGCGATGTGATCATATTGATCTTATACATTGGCGTTCATTATAGCTTTATGCTCTATGGTAACTACATGGGTCAAGAAATAATAGATTATAGCAACGATATATTTAA